TCTGTGTTTTGAATTAATTAATCTTAAAGAATTTTAATTATCAGCTTGTATGTTTATTCTAAACAAGGTATTATTGGTATTAACATGTATTGGTGTAATTGCATCTATTTTAACTTGACTTTAGTAGATCTCCTGAGAAAGCTTATTACGAAACACGTTGCGATCTGAAAGGTCAAATAAACTGCTCTCCTTTGCACCTTGTTCACTCCTGCCTATTGATGCAGCCTGATTTTCTTCCCCTTTAAAAAAAAATATCAATGTAACATATGACGTTTGTGCTGCGCTGCCCTCCCCGATCCCACCACCTTGTCGTTTAAATTCAGGATGCCTCTAGGAGATTCCGGCACCCCAGTTCAGACAGCTCTTCGGTTTATACTGTGAATCCGTTGGTGGTGAATTCGCAGCCCAGAAGAGGTAACTTTTCCCATTCCTGCATTTGGTCATTTTAACTTGGGGCTTAGTGAGACTTATACCACTGTGACTTTTCTTTTTTTCTTTCGTCCTCCCTTAACTTTCGGCCTGTTTTATGCTGCTGCTTTTCCTCCGCTGTGTATTTGCTGCAGCAGAGCTGAGTCTTGGTGCATCCCAAAGCAACGGCGCTCGCCACCTCGTTCTCCTGCCCGACCCTCTCCCCTGATGACCCCCCTGGTTTCTGCCTTGATCTGCCTTTATATTAAATCTGCCAGCCCACAGGGGCCTGCGTCTCCGTCCAGAGCTCTGCAGCTCACCCTCTCTCTGTACTGCAGGCTTGGAACCCGACGAGATGAGCTCGGAGGCAGCCTGATGACCCCCCTGGTTTCTGCCTTGACGTGCCTTTATATAATCTGCCAGCCCATGGGGGGCCTGCGTCTCCGTCCAGAGTTCTGCAGCTCACCCTCTCTCTGTCCTGCAGGCTTGGAACCCGATGAGATGAGCTCGGAGGCGGATTTGGATCTCCGGAACCGGTTGGCTATCCGGGACCGCAGGAAAGGCCGGCGGGAGAGACGCATCAGCGGGCTGGGGGGAAACTCTGAGGTGAACACACCAGACAGCTGGGTAGAAGCCGCTGCGTTGTGCTCAGTAAAGAGCTGGGATTAGACTGCCAGTGGGGGGGCGCTGTGTGGCCACGTTATTAAGAGCTCTGCGGCTGCCTTAGACATCCCTCACCCCCCGTCCTGAGTTTCTTGCACAGATCTTGTGGGCAGCCTCAACCCCAGCTGTCTTTCCTCTTCTCCAGGGTGAGGATGAAGAAGATGTTGAGCAAGTCAACAGTGAAGATCCGTCAGGACATGGCAGGTAGATTACCTTTGGGAATTCAGCACTCACTCTCCTCCGAACCTTGTTTTAAGAGCAGTGTGTGAGGCCCTCCCCCCCCCACACTACACAGGTGAGTATATGGGATCCAAAGCAGCTTACTCAATTACCGCAGAAACAGAGCTGGTGTAGTTAAATCCTCGCTTAGCGAAGAAGTCCGCTGGTTGACCTGGGGCCAGTCACTCTCCCTTAGGTGCTTCCCAAAGTTTTTACGAGGCAGGGACAACCGTCGGCAGCGTCCTGAGCTCCTTGGATGGGGGCTGAGACCAAAAAATGCAAAGGGGTCCCATATGCACAGTACTTTTAATAAAACATATATGCTGTCCAGGATTAGCCCACCCAGGCCAGTCCAGGGATGAGAGGGAATCCTGTACTTTTCAGTACATTAAACAACAAACCACGAGATGGTCTATACCCTCTCTGGTTTCCAGACAATTTCCCACCAGAACCTCTTTTCACTAGTCCCTGCTTTTCCTAAGGGAAGAGATTCCAAACCCATAGTTGGCATCTGGGACAGAACACATTAGCAACTCAATCCAGAGATGCACGCTTTTTACCCTCCCATGGTAGCGTATGTGGTTAGCGTTAGGCACAAGACTTTAGACTTGGAATCCAAGTTACAGCATCAGAGACAAATTAGCAATAAGAAGGATCGTTATTCAGTACAGAGCATAGCAACAGACTAGGAGATTACAAAATAACAAAGGCTAGGGCAATTTGCCTTAACTACACATTAAAGATACATAGTTACCAATTCAGGGACATCCAACAGTCCAGAATAGTCCAAGGGATTTTGAAGGGAAATCCCATTTTTGCACACCCATGTGCTCCAAGTCACCAAGCACATCTTTGTTTTCCGAGAGACAGCATTTCAGGTGCCATAAAACAGGCAGCAAGAGCCTCAGAGCTAAGAGAACAAGAGACTCGAGAACAAGGAGAGCTCACTCCCATACAGATCAAACAATTATACCCCAATCTAATCATGACTAGCCGTGGCCATTCGGCCAATCACGAGCAGCAGGGGTGTGTGGCCAATTTCAGGTTGCCATAGCTGCACATAAGGTGTGTGTATAGATTGGCTAGGAGTTTGGAGACCCCGCCTGCAGTCATGTGACTCCAAACTCCAGTTACTTCATTGTGTACGTGACTTGTCGCATGTGGGCCAGGAAGTGGAGCCATGAGGTCTGGCTTTTGGCATGAAGGTGTGAAAGAATGTGGGTTTATGGCATGGATATTGAGGCCATGTGGCCTCACCATTTGGCATGCAACAGGAAATAAGACACAGCATGTTATCATAATGTAATCACAGGAGAAGGCATGTGGATATAGAAAGCAGAAAGCAATTTATCCATACATATACATTACCTGCTCAGAGTTGTGCATTTATTTGGTGCTCAGAATAAGCTGCAAGATCCAGTGACTCAGTGTGCAAAGTGGTTTGTTTGTTTTTTTTAAAAAAAGATTATTATAAAATAAACAAAATACAATACTCTATTACAGGAGATCTAGATTTAAGTCATGCAAAAAGGAGCCTGTATTTGGTGGAGATCTCTCCACCTTTATGACATTTCATTCCCTCCCAATAAGAAATGAGAGGCATTCACTTGTCCGAAAAGTGAGATAATTTAGAATCTGAATCTATCGGGTTAACCACGAAAGAGATCTTCTCTGTAACAATAAAATCCCAAGTTTTAACCTTCCACAACGTTAAAGATATTCATCCTTCTTCCAGTTTGTTGCAGTACACAAACTTGCTGCCGCCAGTAAACTTGAAATGAGCTTAAGCTTTGGTGTATTGATATCCTTACAAGAGGGTAAATCCAATAATAGCCATTTGGGGTGGAAAGCAGGTTTTATCATTTTGTTTTCCCATGGGCCTGGCTTCATTTTCAGTCCATCACAGGTGTTTCTTCAGATCGTAAGCAAGGTTCTGTAGGTCGTGTTCCCCACCTGAATTGCAGAGAGTGAGGAGCCCCCACAGGACACACGCCCCCTCCCCGTGACACGGTCTCTCTTTTCAGTGAACACGTGAACAGCGTCCTGCCCAACCGGACAGCTCCCTGCCAGAGACGGAGCAGCGCGTCGCACTGCAAAGAGGAACCCGATACCTATTACAGAAAAGTGAGTGGCCGTGGCTTCCCTGGGGGAAGGGGTGGGACTGCTGGCCGAGGAGGCCGGACTGCGGTGCGGCAGGGCTGTCAGTGACCGCGGGACCTGCTTTGTGTGTGTCTTGCCCTTAAGCTGTATGAAGATCTCTCGATTGAGAATGAGAAACTGAAGGAGCAGCTGCAGGAGGCACAGCTGCAGTTGACCCAAGTCAAGCTGGAGCTGGAAAGAGCGACCCAGGTACAAAGGGACTGGGGGGGGGGACGGGACAGGCAGGCTGGGGGCACAGCGGAGCAGAACACAGCAGGCGGCTCCGCCATGGGCATGGCTCATTCTTTCTGTCCAGAGCTGTGTGGTGTAAAAATGCCCAACTGGTGATGACCTTTGATGGTAATAGCACACGTGCCAGGAAGTTATGGTTGGTTCAGATCTAGTCTCTGGCGTAGAGCGGCATGCTGCTCTTTTCTTTCCACCTCCTGTCTGCTCACATGGGGGTGGCAGTGCCAGGTTGCCATACAGGGCTTTGGGGAAGGCCACGACTGCACCCGAAGCAATCTGATCCCTTGAAACGCTCTGCGTAAATGCTTATTCTGTTGCCACCACCGTTCCCCCTCCTAGTAGCGCTCTTGTCGCCTTGGCGTTGTGCATACACGTCACATTATGTGTTTTGTTTTGTTACCCCCCTCAGAGGCAGGAGCGTTTTGCCGAGCGGCCAGCTCTCCTGGAGCTGGAGAGATTCGTAAGTACCTGTTTCCGCTTCTCTCCTCCCTTCCCCCTTCCAAAGTGCTGGGAGTGTTGCCAGCTCTATGGCAGTGGTGAGGAATGGCCGTCCTTTGTTTGCTGCTGCCTGACAGAGGGGAGGAGCCACGGTGCTCCATGGCGAAGGGCAAGAAGGTGGGCATGATCCACCAGCAGAGTACGGCCCCCGTTTTCCAGCAGACCGCCAGGAGCTTACTGGGATGCTTGCAAAGAATGGGGGACTAGGAGGACCTTGGTCGGATCCAGAAAGGAAGTGCTTTGTTCTTACCCAGGAATACTGAACAGAGACAGGTTATACCTTGAAATGTAAAGGAAGTCTGAGAGAGCCCGTTTGGTGTAGTGGTTAAGAGCGGCGGACTCTGATCTGGAGAACTGGGTTTTGATTCCCCACTCCTCCACATGCAGCTGCCGGTGTGACCTTGGGTCGGTTACAAGTTCTTTCACAGCTGTTCTCTCACAAGCAGTTCTCAAAAGAGCTCTCTCAGCCCCACCTACCTCACAGGGTGTCTGGTGTAGAGTCAGTTTGGTGTAGTACTTAGGAGCACGGGCTCTAATCTGGGAGAACTGGGTTTGATTCCCCACTCCTCCACATGCAGCTGCTGGCATGACCTTGGGTCAGTCACAGTTCTCTCAGAGCTGTTCTGGAAAGAGCAGTTCTTGAAGAAGCTCTCTCAGCCCCATCTATCTCACAGGGTGTCTGTTGTGGGGAGGGGAAGGGAAAGGAGTTTGTAAGCCGCTCTGAGACGCCTTTGGGTAGTGAAGGGCGGGGTGTAAATCCAGTCTCTTCTTCATCTCTTCTTGTGGGGAGGGGAAGGGAAAGGAGATTGTAAGCTGCTCTGAGACTCCCTTGCGTAGTGAAAGGCAGGGTGTAAATCCAATCCCCCTTTCTTCCTCCTCTGTATCCTCTTGCTTTGTAAATTTGAAACACGTTGGGGGCACCCTCTAGATGCTCTTTTAGCACCAATGCCCCACCCAGTCTTGTTCTGTAGAGGCTGGCTTTGGTTAGCCCTGATTAAACGGGTTCTTAGAACTCCTCTTCGCTCCTCACCTTCGTCCCTTTGCCCTCTCTCCACAAGGAACGCCGAGCCTTGGAGAGAAAAGCCGCAGAGCTGGAGGAAGAGTTGAAGGTAAGGCCCACCTGGTTGGCTCAGTCTCTGGGTCTCGTCCATGACGGGGAGGTCTCGGACCGGTCAGGGATCGTACGAAATGAGGCTTGACCCAAAACTGAAAGGCCTCTCCGTCTCTCCTTCCTTCTCTCTGGCAGGCTCTTTCAGATCTGAAGGCTGACAACCAGCGTCTGAAGGACGAAAACGCCGCTCTTATCCGTGTCATCAGCAAGCTGTCTAAGTGACCGTCACTGCAGCCCCCAGATTCTGCCACGAACCCGGGGCCTTACTCCCCAGTCCACCCTTTATGTCAACCAGATCTTCATCAGGGACAGGAAGGAGATGCGAGGATAATGGGGCGGCCAGCTCCCCACACCAACACCCAGACACTCCAAACGCAGGCTGTCGCAAGCCCCAGCCAATCAGAAACCCGTT